TTTCTATGTAGATGTTACTTTCTTGTTATTTAGTTGTTCAAAAAAATAATGTTAACAAAAAATAATTTACCGAATGAGATCACAATTTAAAATAGTTTGATCTTTCTTTAAAAATGCACTAACTTTCATTACAGTTTTATGTTTTTCTTTATTCACATATACCATACATTCTTTGGTGAACTACACTAACCCATCGCATTTTAACTAGGTGTATTCTTGTAGACATAAATAACACTTAAGTAACTGAATATATGAATGCATACACAAGGGGTAGACATAAATGTCAAGTTAGTTTATATTACTCGTCGGAGAGAAAATAGTCTATCACATTACTATTTAAACGTTTATTTAAAAATGTAATGTAAAAAAACTATTCCTATGATGTATGCAAATATCCTACTGGCATAGATTATATTTAAATATTCGTTTAGTAAGTGATTTTTAGTTCTTTACATCATGACCATTAAACAAGATCTTCTTTACAAGCGACAATATTTTCACTGTAGATTTTACATAAACGCGAGAAAAACGTGATGCTGAGGTAAATAAAATAACGGGTCAACAAACAGACAATAAGATTTGATATAGATTTCGTTAGATGGTGTATGTATTGTTTTAATGGAATTTAGAAATACGTTTTAAGCATTCATATACATATGTCGTCCATAGTGTAAAAGAAAGTAATTAATATTGAAAAGTAATTCTTTTTTGATCACTATCTATTTGTATGAATCTTATTTTGTAGTTTACTAAACATAGAAGGAAATTTAGAAATTATGTGTAAAATAACAGTATCATTGTTAAGTAAAGCTTTAAGTAAACCATATTTTTCCTCGGATATTTTTATGATATTCATAGTAAAACGATATCAGCATTGGTAAACAGAAACTTTTGATGGTTGTTTTGGCATCTGGTGTTTAACATTATACTTTTACATATTATTCAACTTAAGACCTGATTTCAAGTCTTAGTAGTCCAAGATCTGACTCCATTTGTATCCCATCATGATTGTTATCGAGTTATCGACTTATACATATCCTGGCTACCCTCGTATATAATGATCGACTTAACTCGCGTTAGTGAATAATGGAACTAAAATCAGTCAAGTACGAAAATGAATTTTGTACAATCATTGATCCAGACAGACAATCAAAGGAACGAAGCGAAACCAGATCAATTGATAAAACAAACGCAGTTTTCGAACATACAATCACATCGGGTCCGAAATCTGACTTCAGTTAGATCGTTTCTGATTGTTAATGAAATATACTTATTCAAACTTCATTCTCGTATTTGACTTATTTAACTCCGTTCTTTTACTAGGGTGAGTTAAGTCGATACTAATACATGAGGATTGATTATATGTATATTTAAATAATAATTATAAACAATCAAACTGAAGTCAGATTTCGAGCCACCAAAACGTTTCACAATAGGATCAATTGTGCATACTCAATATAGCCTTCTTCTTAAAACAACATTTGATAGTTTCACTACACAGAAACAAAACTTTCCAAAAATTTTTTTAACTAAAAAAAAAAGAAAAGTTTTATCTAAAAATATGTAATCTTCTCGTATGATCTTTGTTTCTTTGTTTTACTCGTTAACTTATTATTTCATCATGCAATCGAGTAATATATCATTGAAAGTAGAGAAAAGCAAACAAACATACCAACCAACCAAACATAGTTATATGAAACATGGATCCAAGTTATAAATTTTAAACGATCATAAAAACTAATACAACTATGAATTTAAAAATAATAATAATAACATAAAACAAACTATTGTTAGTAAGTGGATAGAACTATTTATGGGATATAAATTTTAGTGATACCATACATAGTCAAGTTAAAGGATAAAAAACTAAAACGTACTCAAAATAAAACCTTCATAAATAATAACTAATGTTGAAGTATTCATTTGAAATATAAGCATAAATTTTTAATTATTCAAGTTGTAAAAAAGAGACATTATTCAAATAGTCATACTTAAGTGAATAATAGAGGATTTCGAACTCATAATTGATTGATTCAAAGTTATTGATTGAGATCTTAAACCGATTGATGTTGGACCACCATTGAAAATCTAAAAACACTGGACGGCCGTTTCATTCTATTGTGGGACTCCTCAGCAGTGCTCCTCCACGATCCCGCTCACGGGATCCGGATCCAGGATCTTCATTCTCGCGTACGAATGCTTAACTTACTTGACCACTAAGCCGGCATCTAATCGTGTTAATATCTAACTTCAACCAATCCATAAATCATTAACTTAATCATCTCCACAACCCTATACTGATGAAAGTAGCTTATTAAAATTATTTATTTATGATGAAAAAAAATAATAATCGATTATTTCTTACTGATCAATATTCAAACATTATTAATATCTTCTAAAAGTTACGTTTTTGAAATATCAGTTACATTAATGAACTAACCAACTAATTCAAATTTTATCTACATAAATAAACTTGAAGGAATAATTAGATAATAATGTAAAAGTAGATGTAGTTTATAGTATACAACGTATCCTTATGTTTAAAGTCCTATTTAAAATTTCCGGCCATATGCATAATGCTATATCATTCAAAAATAATCTTGGATTTGAAGATTTATCAAGGTTCCACAAAACTCCATCAACAAGTTAAGCAACTATGTAGTCTAATGAAATCTATTTAATACTTAGTCATTGGTGAAATTCACGAATTTCCTATGTTGTACTGGTTAATAGTTATTTTGATGGAGTTTAGATTTCAATTTCTTAAGAAAACTACTCTTATTTTAAATAATGTTAGTTATGAATCATTTATTAGGCTACATGTTTTATGTTTAAAGTATAACCATGTATAAGAATATTTCTATTGCTCAAACATCACAGAAACAGCTATTCTGTTTCTATTTATGATTGTTATTTGAACAGTATCGATTGAACAATCCATCTTATTAAAAAAATTCTTGGTCCCTAAGGTAGAAATGATACTGTTAAACTACAAAGTTAAAAATGAATAAACCATGTATTTTTTTGTTTTTTGTTTTCTTCAACTTCTTCTAAATTCGTGATAAATTATTTATCTTTTTATCAAAATACTCACTTTATTTTAGACAACTCAATTAAGTCATTATATAAAGATATTTAAGTGAAAAGTTTGAAAATTATTCTTTATTAACTTGTAATATTGAGGGTAATTCACAGAGGTAATAAAATAGAAAATATAGTATAAAAAGAAAATAAATGAAAATTAAAAAGTACTTTTATTTTATTATAAGATAATTAAAATAACTCATAGTGTCATTGAATATGAAAAAGAGAATTCACTGAAGAAAATTTTCTTTTCGATGAAATCATTTACTTAAGCTGTACATTCGTTACATAGGCCACACAAAGTGATCATTGTCCAAACGCATCTCGGAACACTATCCGGGGAACATAAAACAATTACTAGTTCGATACAGGAGTATATAACTAACTGTGGACACATCGTTCCAAAGGACTCTTATTTTAAAGTAATCTACAGAGTCAAAGGAACTGGATCGAAAGGGGGTTCGAATCAATATTTCATGCACTGCTGAGGCATTGGCAATCCATAAACCCAAGCCTGAACTTTGCGTACAGAAACGATTTATCCAACCTCTCATCCTTCTTTGGCCCTAATTCCCTTAATGGGTATGTTTCTGTATTTTCTGCACTTTCATTTGGTTATTATCGATTTTTTAAATTATTGTTTTGCATTTTAAACTCGGATCAGTTATTATTATAATTCAGTTTATTATTATGACCTTTGTTTTTGTCACTTTTCTTCATATCTGTCAATTTGACAGATTAGTACGTTAACCTCATTTGTTATTTATTCTCGAATCCATTTTGGTGATACAATCCTTTCTATCCTCCTATAGACATATATTTTCCGTACCTAACTATATATATGAATATACGGCTTAAGTAAATGATTTTGTCGCTGAATTCCCTTTTTCTTATGCAGTATTCAGTTAATCCAATTTTTTTTATTTAAGGATATCCTTATATATCAAATGGATCCAACTGAATAGTACCGCTTCAATGTGCAGAACAGAAAATGAAATAAGGATAATGGTTGTGCGAAAAAGTTATTTATTGAATAGTTCGTATAGACTAATGATTTTTACAGACATACATATTGTTGAGTTCTAGGCTAGACTCCTAAAGTTATAGTGAAGTGATAACTAATGAAATACGACCTTATTGAAACAGAAATATATAAAACTGAAAACGTTGGGTTATTTTCATACCATATTAACGAACTAACGAATGTTCAGATTCTGGCTAATTAAGAATCCAACTCATAGGTTTAATATAATAACAGTCTAATTTTTATGTGCACAAAGGTAATAAATTTAGCTACGTATGTTTGTTGAAGTTGCGAACTATTAAGTAATCACTCTAAACTGAGACATGTATCTTATTATTATTATTGGCTTTATTCAATATTATATTTCTGGTATAATATAGAATTCTCAGCACAAAATATTTCGCTAAGTTTCCTTTTCTTATTTCTAGATTGATCCTTGCGATAAATATTGGGTGGTCGCCAGTTAAATGTTGGGAGTTCAGGAATCGACATTTGAATAATGTACATTCTTTTCGATGCATATTGTCAGCAACCATGATGTCTCTGATTGAGCCCTCCTGTAACTTATACAGTGAAAGCTTATAAACTTGTCACAAACGCTCCTGAATAGGTTATTAGATTAATGGACATAATGATGTGTTAAAACGACAAAAAAACAAATAACTTGTTGAAATATCCAGATAGTAAGAACAGGTAGCCTAAATATTTAAACAGGCCGCCCCCAAACTTCCAGACTTTCAGTAGCTTTCTAGGTCGTTGTATTCCTTGATGAGTATTATCTTCAAAAAATATATACTAACTGATAAAATATTCTGTTTAAAAGAAAATAATTTAATTGCATGATTTGTTCATATAGAACTAAACGAAGAAATAATCATGATTAAGAACTTACTCTTTTCTATTTGATGATGAAGCTCGTCGTGTAGTTTCAAAAGATTTTTGTTGTTTTAATAAATAATATTTAATTTCTTTTTCAACTGCTTTACGACAACCTGAACATTGAATAAAATTTAAATCCATTTGTAAATAATCTTTATTAGATTGTATATATGGATGATTTAAATAATTATATGATAGTTGATGATGTTGATGTGTAAATGGATGATTAGAATTATTTTGTTGTTCTTGATTATTTTCATCATCATTTAGTTCACTTGGTGTAGTATCTGAGTATTGTTGAATAAATAATTGTGAATACTTTGATTTTTCTAATTCATTAATTCGATGCTCATCAGTAGATGGTAAATGTGTTCGACGTTTTGAAGAAGATGATGAACAACGATGACGAGATTTTATTGTTTGTGGACGAGATTTATTTGATGGTACTTTTAAATTTAAATTCTCACCAGGTGTATTTTTAGGTGATATTCCTTGACGAGTAAACATAGTTCCAGGTCCTGAACTCAAAATAGTTGTAGAGGATTTTGGAACTGAACGATTCAGTGTGTTTGATTCACTACCTAAATAAATAGAAAATAAAGGTTGGTTAGTCTACATTTTAATATTATTTTTCTTCGCTTCAATTCTGTTTTATGATCTTTCAAAAACGACTTTTTATCACACAATATGAATGAATGTACCTTCAGAATTTATTCTACTTCTTCGTATTTTGTCTAAGTTAACGTTTATTCAGATAAATTTATCAAATGGTAGATTGAAGTGAAGTATATAAGTTAGTTTTTCGCATCACAAATTTTCTAAAAATGTTAACACAAAGACTTGTAATTATATAACACATTCATACTATCCATTTCATTGTCAATGATATTTATTTTATTGCTATTCCCAAGTGTTTTCCACTGTTCATTATTTCGTATATAGGAATGCCTCATTGTTCAAAACAGGTAATGCTCAAATATACCCATTTGTTGCAGCATGTCAAAATATAACTGTTCGCACGTTATATCAGCATGTACAACATGCCATGCATAAGGAAGCTATAAACAAATTATTAAAGATAGAACATTTCAACTACTAACATCTTGGCAACCATCGGCTGAGAACGATTTTTGATCATTCTCCATGCAGAAAAAATTATACTTAGAATGATTAACTTTTCTAATCACTGAGTAAGTAGTGACCAACCTTATACCATATACTATCCGTTGTTAACCTATTTCTTTCATACACATATGCAATACAATTACTAATAGAGGTAATTCTGTGTTGATGTAATTTTTAGCAAACGGTTAAAAATGATTGTTTGATTATCCTTCAATATATATTAGCCTTGCTTCTTTTATTTAAATGTGACGATAGGTCTATTGTGTTTCATTCATTTTTCCAATTGTTAGGTCATAGAATTCGTTGAATACATTTAATGTTTAAATTAATTCTATCAGCTTTCCTATTATTTAAATCATATACAGATTGTGCACCATTCATTATTGACCATGAAACATTTTGTTTAAAATTGTAGTTTTACTTTTCTAGTGTGAATACATTTCCTTGATTGTTTACTGGTAAAATGTACCATCTTTCTAACTCATTAACGTATATGAAATTTTACCAGTTTTCAAATAAATTCACTGATGTTCTTTTTTCTATTCTCTTTATTCTAACTCCGTAATAAATCAATATATTTGTATAATGTTCTGATTTGTTTCTTTGTACTACTCAAATGTATGTTTAATTAATTTATTCTTTAGAAAAGCATCACGAGAAGTGATTAAATGAAACGTTTTATCTATTTGTTTACCGTCAGAACTCTTTAAACAAAATATAAAATTTCGTAAACAAACGTTTTGTAATCCACATTTTAATAATAAAGATTCGAAAACTATTACAATATTGATTACATAAAGTTATCTTCAAATAAAAACGTTCTACTCCTTCAGTGTTTTACATCATATTAGTCGGTTCCAAAGTAACTTCATTTCATTCAATCTGAAATGATTTACATTATCTCGTTGTTGATATTTTTGACTGTAATTTGATCAATCTTGATTGAAATCTGAATTTAGTGGCTAAGACGATAACGAGATGGTGTTTGAAGCTGATGACACTGCGTTCGAATCCGGAATTAATATTAACTCCTGGATCAAGGTACATCTAGCTAACGAGCCTCAAATAGAAAACAACAGGAAACAACATAAAACTGTAGCCCTATAATTTGACACAAATTAGATTGGATGATGATGTCATCAAAATATACATTCCAGCTACTGTTTTGTATAATTGTCGACTTAAATCGCTTTAGTAAATAACGAAATATAATAAGTCAAATACAAGAATGAATTTTGAATAGGTATATTTCGTACACTCGTTGGTCCGAACAAACACTCAGAATAAGAAACGGAAAAGCGAAGCGTAAAAGGCGAATGAGCCGACTAGCTTTGATCAAGTGTGACTTTTATAGTCAAACCAAAAATAAGCTACAGACATGATGAGTAGGGTAAATAATGCACATACACGCTCATACAAAGACAGTCAAGGTTAATAAACGAATAATTAACAGAGTTAAAATGTGACATGAAAAGAATGAATAAACTGGTTCATCCGGAAGCCAGAATAACTCATATGGGCTTGACATGGGACTAAACACTACAAAAAAGGGAAGGGATCCATTTTGAGGAATAATCATCTGGCATAAGTTTTTTGTACTAGATAAATAGTATTTTTATATGCAAAATGTATGACGTTAATTAAGCATAAAAAAAAGGTTTTAAAACATTTATAGAATTGCAAGTCTAAATCAACCAGCCAGACATAAACAGCATAAATAATTGATTAAAAATATCAATTTGATAAAACTATTGGATGCTTTTACCATTGAACAAAAAAAATACTTACCAACACTTCTATCTGGATAACTGCTTGAAATTGCCCATGACGTGTCCGTAACTTGAGCACATTGGTTAGGATCATATAAAGTTTTAGACTTTTGTACAGATATTTTTGAATCATCACTATGATTCTGTAGTCGTATATTATTGTTATACTTATTATTATTATCATTATTCTGCGGTGTAAGTCCAGTTAAAAGTTGTCCCTCAACAATATTATTATTTGATACAGAATTTGAACTGAGGCTATTTGATATTGAATCAAAGGATCTACTGAAATTGCTTGTAGCTACAGCCTTCAATAGTAGAAAAAATTGAAATTAATTGTTTATTTACTAACATAGATGAATTCCCAGATATATCATTATCGTTTAATGTCCTATAGAATTAATTTACTTTGTTAAGCTTGTAAAAGCTTTGACTCATATTTTATCTTTTAACCTCTGATATGAATATATTACAACTATGACTAATATCTTTTACCAGAATCTATTTTGCATATAGCTTTGTTGAAAGTCTTGAATAAAGAAAATCTTTTATTTCTTCCAATTATGGAGAAAGAACTCACTAGCTCTCTCAACAAATCACTCAGGTGTATGCAACACTAATAAATAAGCCTACATAAACCACACCACTATCTTTTATAAAGGGAATGTTGTGGAAATAAGTTAGCATATTTAAGTGTTCAGTGCCAAATCTGTAAACTTCAGTAACTAGTATTAATGTGAATAATCAATCATCATTATCCAATTTACAGTAATCACGTAAGATATTCACTGATGTTTTTGGTGAATATATATATATATATATATATATATATATATATATATATATATATATATATATAGTACTACCTAGCAGGCGTGTTGCAGAGTAGAACCGCTTCTAACTTATGATCGTCTGATATACTATGCTATCGTGGAATCCAAATGATTTCGTGTGAATAAGTGTAGAATAGGAGGGAATACTTCTATATATGTCCCTACAGCTTACACATGCTCAGAAATGTTTGTGTATGACTGTCACATTGTTGTGCATCAGCAACACTAGGTTGACACAATTTAATTTGTACACATAAATAATCTGTTGTCTTTATAAATGCCTATGTGCAATTAGTATAAGCAATCAAGCAAATAACAGGATTAGATTCATATAGACAAGCTTCTGTACTAAATGTTTATTAATGTAAGAAATATAAAATGAATTTCATCAACCTTTTAATTTAATTTTTCTAAATTAAGTTTCAACACTTGACTTTTCTTGTTTCAGAATCATTTGAGAATCACAGTTCAACCTAGTATTCATGATATTTGAGTACGGTAGTAATTCAGAGAGTAATTATTATGGCAATAAAGAAACAATGAAGTTTGAGACAATTACTAGAGGATTTTCAAATGAAGTATTGAACGTATTGTTGTCACACGGCACGAAAGAATTCTATAATTTTATATTATAATACATTTAGTTGTTACCACTTGTATTCTCATTTATTACAGTAAATCAACACTACTTAATATTTATTGTGAAAACAATATTTGTATAAATAGGACGAAACGCACGTCCTGGATTCCACTACTAGCCACTATCCATTTTTGCTTGTAATACTTACAATTTATGATTGCAGTTTTGTATTAAAAACAAAGCACGAATCATATGCTACTCAAGAATTTTAAATTATATCGTAACATATCTATCCTATACACTGTAACCAATCTGTGATAAAGATATATCTTTGTATGTACGCATTATATTACTTTAACTTACTAACATTGTGTATAAATAGAATCAAATGTGCATTTCAAAAAAGAGTCAAACAACAATTATTTCGTAAGTGATAATTACTTTGATTTTCAGGATTACTATTTTTATTATTATTATTATCATTATTATTATTATTATTATTAATTAGTATCAAGGAAGCGTATCAATCTATTATGTAATCTCTTATTGATACATCATTTCAACTATTTATCCTCTCAAATCTAATCTCTTATTTGCTTCACTTTCACTGTTGTTTCAATTCAGTCCATTCATAATGAGTAAAATATTTTTTGTCATCTAATAATAATTTAATTATTTTTTTATTTTTCACTATTCTCATTTCTGTTGTTTTTTGGGTTTGTTTTTAGTTTTGGTAATTTTGTTCATGTGTCATCATCAATTAAATAGTGTCATACTCAAAACAATTCATTTTTAAAGTAACTAAACATAATACTATATTATAAGAACATTCCATTACTTGTTAAATGATCAGGAGTAATCAATAAGAAACCCTGATCAACTTAGGTTTCATAATATTTGCCACTTTTTGGCAAGGTTTACATGTAATCTTAAAGGATCTAACATTAATGAATGAATTCAAACGCGCATCACTTAGCTTCACATTGTTAGACATTACAATTAAACTATTCAGATCAAGATTGACTACCTATAGGACTGAGATTTACTTAAACGTGAATGGTGTCCAATATCGTGTTTGTCTTTTCTTTTGGTATCAATCTAATCTTATTAGTCAAGTTACTATGTGATTAGTAGTCGAAGTGACTTAGCGACATAGTACACACCACATCGATATGTTTAGTGAATGGAAGTAGTAAAAAAATGTATTTATAGAAATTCATTTAAATAAATAGCGTAAGTGTTGAATGAACAAATAAATAGTAATGTGAAAATGTAATTTTAGTTTACCACTCTTAGTTCATTTTATTGGAATTTTATAATCTGTGTACCCTAATCTACTCACAATGGTATTTTGACTCAATTATGTTTAGAATTAACAAGATAAAAAAACAATGCTATAATTCAATTGAACAGATTTAACACTCTTGTTGAGATTGTTCTGGAATAAAATTATATAAATAAAAGTAAAAAAAGAGCTGTCATAAGATCCTGTGAATATGCTCTACAAAATCAATATATAAGGAAAAAAAGATTATTAATAAATATAGTCAACAAGTGTTTGTATGATAACCTCCTTTTGTTATCTAAAGCTTGAATCTCATATTTTGTATACAAAGGAAGATTGTGATGAATCTGGAGTCACAGTGAACGAGAACACACATGTGAGGACAAATAAATGTACCTATATACACAATTACAGAATATCTTAGATCCGAGAACCATACAATAAGTAATTCATTTGCAAAATGTCCACCAATTGTTTCAGATCTGATTATTCCTTCATTTATATATCAATCAATTTCTGTTCTCGTCCTTTTTGCTTCGATTTTTTCAACTTTCTACCGCCAGATATTTCACCTTTGATTAATGATAATTATTACTTATATCTATCGACATCAATTACATCCACCATATAACTACATTAAAACAACTACATCAAGTAAATAAACTTCATTATTTTACATATTTATTAATTTTTTTTCATTAGTGGATTCTTTAATATCTGTGAAATTATTATTAATTCATTGATAAGATTTTTCACTTAGATACATTTATAACTGTTATAATCCATTTGATCTAATCCTCGCCCCCCCTCCGCATTTATAAACTGAATATCAATTTCATTTAATTAAATTGTGTTAATCTTTTTTTTCTTTTTTATTATTTCAAAACTTATCTGATTTATTAAAAATTTTTGGTTAGTTATATAGTGAATTTTGATATATTAATGATTTATTATTCTTATTCTATTCAAAATAAATAAGATAAACACAGCTTTGTATCTGCTGAAATCATTGAGTAAGTATTAGTGAGGTTAAATGGAAGATATTAAAGAATCATGGTAATTCAATTGATGTTGTAGCTGACTGACTGACGGACTGATTGGTTAATTGATTGATTGACTGACCTATTAAGTTAACTCTTCTAAAACAGAATATGTACATGTATACAACAATGTAAACAATGTACTGTATAAATGTTAGTTTATTACAAGAAATCATTGTTATAAATTAAACTACAATGTAAAGAAAGAATAAAAAAGTGTTTCATTACTTTATTGAATAAAGTTTATATTTAAAATGGATTAATGTTATAAACAAATTTAAATTCTATAAAATATGAAATAATTGAATTGAGCTATTTTTAATTCTTACCTTTACAAGTGTACATTTTCTAGATAAAGGAAAATGATTTATTGGTTGTTTCTGTCCACTAATTGTATTATTATGCATTGTACCAATACTAATAGATGTTGTTGTACTATTGGTAATAGAAGTTGTAGTAAATGAATTCGATTTACGTGCAATATGTAAAATAACTTTATCTGGAAAATGTTGTAACATACGCATTGCTTGTGTTAATGTATGACCATTATGTAATGTAATACCATTTATAGCTAAAATTCTATCACCAGGATGTATTAAACCACATTCAGCACCAGGATCACCAGGATTTAATGAATCAATTAATACTGGTATATCTGGTGCATCATCTGTTCCACAAATAGTAATACCCCATGGACAATTAGATGATTTACGTCGTAATATTACTTGAACAACATTTATATCAGGTTCTAAAGTAATAAGTAATTAAAAACACGGTTACGTTCAGGTTTTTTAAATAATAGTATGGATAAATTTGTACAATTAAAAATAACATGTAGTAAGATGTTCTGTTTTCAATCATTTCCAACAACTTCAACTCATAAAAGAAATATTGACAGTTTAAAATGAACATTACGTTTTGGTGTAGTTCAATTTCATTTGAAACAAAAAACTATTAAAGATGGATGTTGGCTAGTAGTGGAATCCAGGATGAGCGTTTCGTCCCATTTGGGGCTCATCAGCTGGATGTACCTGCGTCTCAGAGTTGATGTTCACTCTGGGACTCGAACCCAGTACCTTTCGCTTTAAACGCCATCGCTAGCCATTATCCATCTTTGCTTAAAAAGCTTGTGACTTAAGGCTATATCGGGGCAATCCTCATATGATGAACATATGCCAATATGAGACTGATCAATTGCAGTCCTAAATAACAATGGGAAGATACAAATAAAACAACACCAAGTGAATCACTAGTTTTGTGTTCAAAAATGAATTTATTACAATAAAATAGCCACTAAACATAATCTAATAGAAGCTAACTATGTTATATTGTTTGATTCGATGCATAAATTTTCCAATGGTAAGAAAAAAAATGAATGAAATACACTTTATTGAAAACCATTGATTATCGAAATAAATTCTAGTCAACTGCCACGCTTATCACTAATGTTTTTTCCCTTATTGAAAAAAGCATTGAAAACAATGATGCTTATACCTTATTGACTTATTGAAATGGCTGAAAACTAAGCATATTCGATTTTGTCAACACGTTCTGTAGTTTGAAGTAGGCTTCAAGTTTCAACTATTCTTTCACGCATACTTCCGATTATCAAACACTAAATTGAATATAAAGATAATGATGGTTAATATGAGTATTAATGTTAGAATTTGGTACCCTTCCCTTCAAACACCATCGTATGATCCGCTAAGCTACTAAGTCCTGATCAATTGCAGGCCTAAACATCAATAGGAATATTCAAACAAACAATACCAAGTGAATTTAATAATCTGTAAATGCAATGAAGGGACGCGTCAGTATAACTAACTTTTTGTCACTGTGTCATAGATTCTTCCTTTCGTTCTCGAATTAGGTGAATTCGTCATCGCTTCAAATATAGTATAGCTATATAATATACCCTTGTGGGCCACGAAAATTTTGCATTTGTTTTCAGGAGAACTAGACACCATCCAGAATTTAATGTGACAACCCAAACTCAATCCTGTTTAACAGGAGAACCAGACGCTACAATCGGAATAGTACATGTCAATCCTGTGGCGCAACCATACAGGTACCAAGCACCCTAGTGAACCATTCGAACATAGCAGTTGAACAATAATTTTCTTTTAAAAAAACTAATTTTGACATCAGAATAATGCCATGTTTAATAATGCTAGTCCAATTCAATTAAGCAATCGTAATAGTATTAATCTATAGTACTGAAATTTTCAATTTCATTACTTAAAGATGACTTGGAATTATCTCTAATTTTTAGTAACAAAAGTTATAACTTGTTATTCAGGGAAAAAAGGTCATGTAAATGTCAAAAAGGTTTTCAAATGTATTTGCTGGCAGAAATAACTAATCCAGTTCAAATGCCAAATATTTATATATTCTTTCTTTAATTTCATTTATTTTTGAGAAATAGAAAGTGCGAATGTTTTACAGTTTAACCTTCACCTGGATTAATGCTTTTACAAATATAAACATTACACAATATACACTTATAATTTTCATCATTATCAGGATTAATATGCGTTTGGATGTCATTTATCCATCCACATCTGAATGGAGAATGGAATAACAGATTTTTTTTCCACTCTAATCACTTCCTAACAAAATGACGTAACAATGGAGACTCGTTCATCGTTTCCACATTGATTTCAATAAATATGCTAAAGCTTTTGTGTAAATGAATAAGAATTCTTATGTACATTAGTCAGGCAGTTGTTATCTAGCTCTAATTTCAAAATCAAATCTTTACAAGTTGAAATTAACGTGTTCAATGAGAAAGGAGTCAAAACAATCTAGTAACAATAAAAAATGAGAATATTTAAACATTTCGAATGTTTCTAGAAGAAAAGATTTGTATAAAGGAATACTGGAACCGACAATCTAGAATACGATTAAGAGGGAATATATCTATTTCATTATGTCTGATCCTGATCGGTGTCACTCAAAATCTCCACCCATTGATTGTGGCTATCGTGTGAACCACAACCAGATAGTGTATACCTACCCCTAGTTTTCTCCCAACTTTCTCTTACTTTAAATTACGTGATCTTCCATGGACTTTGTGTCACTTGAAAAAAAATTTCCGTCTTGGACTGACATCATATAATAAACATCGAAACCAACAGACTACTAAACACATGTTTCTTCTCGGCTTGAAGATTTCCGGCAGCTTATAATCATCATCATGTACTGAGTAAGATTTAAGGACTTTAGGTGCAACAATGAAAGATCTGTTCATTACTCAATAGTACCAATGTTTCGTTAGTTGATGCCTACTTGTTGTGATAATTTTCTTTACATTTAACATCAGTTAACTCATTGAAGAATTCCAATTGAAAACTGTTTTATTTTAAAATTGATGATATTTTTTCAGATAATAATTGAATAGATCTCTCACGTTGACATTTACTGATTTTGAAACTATATAAGCTTCATACACATAATTTATTAGTAGTGATAAAATATAGTTTCAACCATAATGTCCTATTATTGACTGTATCCGATTACTGAATAACTGTGAAATCACAAAAGATAACTCATTAGTTTTATTGTAACATTTCAGTCCTACAGAAGGTCAGTCGTGGCCCGAATAGCTCAGTGATAACGTCTCTGACTGTAAAGATGGGTGACACGGGACCGAATCCGTCGGAGGGCACTAGTTCTCTCAAGATTACAGGTACAGTATGCTGAGGAGTGCCAAGTAGCAAGAAACCTAGGTCCATGTTTTCTTGTTGACTACCTCTATCTTATCACAACATAGTGCACGAAATGTCGAGTAACCTAGACTAGTGGCCACATTGCAACTTGATCGATAGTATTCGATCTGCACTAAGAAGGACTTGACACACATAACATCGATCACCATCCAGTGAATAATCAATTGTAAATAACACTGCATTCGTTAGAATATCCATCTACAAAATTGAAAAGTTTTAATGTCTTGCAAGTTTACTTGATTGCAGTTAGATTATTTTTAACAATTTACAACAGACAATTAGTCAAACTGTAGGCTTAATGTTTATTATACGACCAGAACATTTTTCTAATCTTGTAGTTTATAAAAATAGGTAACTTTTTTCAAAAACGATAATTTCTCTACACTACTTATGTGACTACGGTATCAAAATGAAATATTATGCTTATATATATATATAAATTTGAACACATAAATATTGGTACAAAAGGGCACCGAATACATATGCGCCACACAAGTCCTGGACCCCATGTTCACCACTGGTTCCAAATCAAGGTTTTTCTAACTCCCCTAGGTGAGTCCTCGATATCGACGAACCCGGTTAAAGCGCCGGACATTTGCTTTTCGTCCGCTCAATTTCCTAATATATATATAAATTATAGCCTGAGAGTGACCTAAGAATGGGTTTATTTTTGTTTATACCTTATTTAAATCTAAAAAAAATCTGCCTCATGCATCTATAAATTAATTATCTTCTTACAATTTATCCAACTCATCTTAACAATGCTTAGTACTGACCTTGACCCGAATTTCAATATCTTATTTTGTTCTACAATTAAATGAGTATAAATTTGATTGATTCGAAATTACAAATGATGTTCAGTTGGTGGTCAGCGCTGTTCAAATTACGCTATGAATAAAAAACATTTATAAATAAACGAAAAATTGAAATAACTGTTATAACACTAATGATTATGTTACGTGTTGCATATTTACCAATCACTGCCTATTTTGTATTGGCTAAAGGCAGAATAGTGAATGGCTTATAATGATGATTTATCAAAGCAGTATATAAGGAAACATAAGATGAATGGATAATATTATTGGTATATTAATGGTTTAGGTTCGTTAGCTTAACAAATAAATGTTATGTTTGTTGTTCGTAAGTGGATACCAGCTCTTAATATCATGAACATTCTTCTCAATTTTCCCCGTGTAACATCTTAAGTTTTAATTCTATGACAATTTATTTTCTATGAGATGTTACACTATAACTCCATGTTGTTCACCGTACCTAGCTATAATGGCAGGATGTATAAAGGGACCATTCTCTTCCTTATTATGCTTGATGTTTACTACTAGAATCCTATGAACGGGATAATTTTCTTAGTTATAACAGTGTCAATGATTATTCACTTACCCAATGAATAATCTGATTTGGAATTTATGAATTGTTTAGGCTGATTATCGAACTGATTTTGATTAAGTTCATCTTGGTTTGTTCTTTGACTCTTAACATTTTGAAGTTGATGAAATCGATGTGTATGATCTTGCACTGTTGGACTATTACTGGCACCAGTTGGATATCTATATGATTTCTCAGAATCTCCTAGATCACTGGGAAATAATTTTTCAATTGGACACTGTTGTACTACAACAGAATGCTGTTGTGGTTGATGATGGTGATGGTGATGTTGATATGATCTGCGTGCTGATTGATTATGGGAAAATGATGATGCAGATGAAGTATTATTGTCTGATAATTTCTTTGTATCCTCATTTGAATTATCTCTACTGTTACTATCTTCATTCTGAGGTGTTCTAAACTGTGTTTCCGGTTTTAAACACTTATTCATTAAATTTTCATCGAAACTTTTTCGATACAACTGTTTTCTTTGATGTTGATGTTGGAGTTGTTGTTGTTGTTGTTGTCTGTCGTAGAGATAATCATGCACAACCGAACTATCAGAACCATATTTTATCTCCAATTCTGTTTTTGATGAATAAGTATCCATTTTTTGTATTCTCAATATTATTATATCATCATCTGGGGATTGTAAAAGTTGTATTGCCTCAGAAAGACTACATGAAGAAAGATGAATACCATTCACAGCTAACAGTATATCACCTGGATTGATAGAACCACTACGACTTGCAACACTCCCAGGAATAACTTTACTAATTAATAAAGGTTGTCCAGAAGTTTTATTGATTGATGCTATTAAAAAAATAGTAAAAAATAAATGAATATATTATAAAAAACAATACTTTATTATTTTGTTTGAGATCATGAATCGACCAAAGTTAGACTACCATCGAAAAGCTAGAGGTAACGGACAGCCATTTCGTCCTAGTATGGAACTCCTCAGCCTCCCGCCTCACGAGATTCAAACCCGGGACATATTGGTCTGCTGAGGAGCCTCACGATAGGACGAAATGGCAGTCCAGTGCCTCCAGGTTTTTCATCGTGATCTAGCTTCAATCGACTCATGATCTCGACTATTAAAATTACCATAATATCCACAAAACCCCTTCTGATATTATTTCATTTGTTAAGTGTTAAATGGCCATTCTACTAAAGAGTAAAATCTGTCAGTGGTAAATATTTAAAATTTTAACTGTTGTAGTAAAATTAAATGTTGATCACTAATAATTCACAAATATTTTCAGTCATCTCGTTAACATATAAATTTGATTAGCCTTAAACTTGCACCGATATAAACTATGTTGTATTGAATGCCGCCAAAACATTTAATAAAATGTATCGAGTAAAAGAAAATTACTTCATCAGTACTTAGTACGAATTATCCTGACGATCACATAATGTTTTATTGTATTAAAGTTGTAATTTCAAAGCTCTCAGTCAAAAATCTTTATTTCAGTGTTGAAAACTGTTATCCTTTTGCCTCTCTTATACTCACGAATGTGTATTAGAGAGAGAGATTGTTTATCAACACCAGATCGATGATAGGTAATCAGCAATTCTCAATTCCTTTTGCAGTATTGCTAATCATTATGAGTCTATGACGAATATGAAATGTAATAACACAAAACTGGTATTCCTCATTAAAATCATTCATTCAATGGAGTTTTATTAAAACATTTAAATAAAAGATAATGCTGGTTTCCAATTCTAATCTAAACTGCGACACTGGGACGCAGGCAAATTCAGTTGATTAATTCTAAATAAGGATTAAATGTGCATCCTTGATTCCAGTGCTCAATATAATCTATGTGTTCCATTAAACTTGTTAAATGATTATATTGAGGCCATTCGCTCAGTATGTACACATATGCCAACAAAACTCTTATTATTAATGATTTAGAACATAAAATAGTCATTTAAAGCAAGGCAAAATAGTATCTATTCAAATAGAATATAATGTAACTGACGAAGAATTGTTCCAGCTCACCTTGAAGGTTAATACCTAAACTAACCGATCTTCTTATTAATTTGACATCAAAAATACCCGTTGCAGGAACCACTGAATCTGCTACAGTATACTGTATCAAAAGTGTTAATGATTGAACACGAAAGTATTTCTTTTCAAAATCAGTTGGTTCTAAGTATCTTTGAATTAATTCATCAACAGTTCTGTTTAATGTAGATTGACCATTAATACATATTACTCTGTCACCCTCTTGAATAACACCCGATCTATAAACACAATATAAAATCCAATCATATAAACGTTTTTTTAGAAACACAATAATTTTTGTTTGAATACTTATTAATTGTAATATATAATTGACATATTAATAAAATTAACAATCATAATTGGGCCGCTTAATTGGATACTCAAACGTCTTGGAATTAAATAGTAAACCTGAATATTAACAGTGACCCAATTCATTAAAAATACATGTTTCTGTCATTTAAATATTATTTATTGACGTTATTACATATCTAATTCAATACTGGTTTTGACTAAGTTGTGAAATTAATAAAAAGTCTCAGTTCTTTTTTACTAGGTTTCACTAACTACCCAAATTTATCAAGATTATTTGTTGTGATAGAGTTCTACAGAGATTTTTGATTGAGATCATGAGCCGATTGATATAAGACCACCGTTGGAAACATGGAAGCACTGAACGGCCGTTTCGTCTCATTGTGAGACCCTTCAGCAGTGCGCATCCACGATCCCGCTCACGGGATTCGAACCCAGGGCCTTTGGTCTTGTACACGAACTCTTAACCTTCATACCACTGAGTCGGCATCCAATGGTGTTAGTGCCTAACATCAACCAATCCACAAAATTGCGCGACCATCTCCCATTTTACTGAGGTTGATACCTTTTTCTGCTCGACACGGATTTTATTCCACCAAAAATTAATTTATACACATACCAATTTAAATATTAATATCTGTTTAACTTACAAATTATCACAAGGAACTAGCGATATAAAAGAAACAGAAGTATATTAACTTATACTGTCATCATATAGAATCTTATGTTTACGTATTGAATGGAAACTGATGTAAGATACTTAACAGTAGTTTTCAGTATCATGAAAACACAGAAATACTAAATTCTATGATCTAAGAGAAACTGAGAATGAGAGTTAAATTGACATTAAAAAAGTAGGACGACGAAAAACATTAACCAGCCTAGTTGTAAATGTAAAACATCATCTCAGAAATAAAAAACGTAAATAAAAGTTTAACTCGAAACATATATAGACGGTGGTCAGTAGTGGGATCCAGGACGCACGTTTCGACCTATTTGGGGCTCGTCAGCTAGATGTACCTGTATCCCAGATTTGTTGTCCACTCTGGGACTCGAAGGCACTATCGAGATAATTTGCACAGGATCCATATATGCCACAAAGAGACTGATCAATTACAGTCCTAAGCATCAATGTGGAAATTCAAACAGTCAATTCAAAAAAAAATTCGGACTAAAAATTTCAAATTCGCACACACCGAAGAGGTTCTTGTTCACTTTCAAAATAAAGCTTCCAGTCTTAATAATACAACAAATATGTTTTTGACTAATTTATTAGAAATACACTAATTTCCCATTATCAGTTTGAAACAATATATGTCTTATATTATGTAGCGCACAGTCCAGTATTTGCCTAGATTCAGTAGATCAGTTGATAGTGCGTTGATGCTGTTAAAGAAAGGTACTAGGTTCTAGTCTTATCGTGACTATCAACAAAAAGATGCAAGTATATCAAGCTGGTGAGTCCCACGTAGGATGATACACATATCCTACATTCCATCTCTAAAAAATAATAATATCAGTTGATAGTTAGAAAATTTGTAAGATTATTCATTGAAAGATCAAATAATAAATGTTGGAAGACTTATAAATTAGGCAATCTTAAGACACATTTAATTCGTTTACCTTAAAAGAAACTCTACTGAAAAATTAGATTAGTTTGGCAGTTTCAATTGTTTTAAATAATCAGTGGTGATTAATGATAAATGAATACTTGATTGAAACTATTAGTTTTCGGGTAAATAACATTAAAAACGAATCGGACATCAATGTTTAGAATGCTAGAAATTTCCGTTTTTCGTACTTATAATTGTATATTTATATGGTTACATACGTTGTCCCAACTACATATACATTTATTGACGTAAATGTGATTAATCTGCTTGAAAGCAGACTGTAAATATATAATGTTACTAACTTATTTACTGGACAACTTGTACACTATGTATGTCTTATTAAGTCATATAAAAGGGGAAATATATATATATATATATATATATATATATATATATAACGTGATTATAATTAGGAAACGTGGAATTTTCAGTGAATTGTTTTATTTCGACCTATTGAAATAGAAAATAAATAATGTTTCAAAATGATAAGAAATTAATCCATGACTTATCCTTATTCAGATGACATGAAAGGCTACTTACAAAGTTTAAATTTCCCACTTAAATATATATGTATATATAAACGGTAGAACTATTGGTACTTTTGAATTTTGGACAGGTTTTAGTGTTTTTTCTGTCATTTTATCATTAAACTATAGTAATTCGTAGCAAGATATATGAGAACTGTTATGGAATAAATTTTCCCCCTAAAGATAAGAATAAATGGGTTGACTTTGAAAAAAACAACTCAAATAAATCAAATGGAAGAAGACAGCTTTTTTAAATAAGTCAGTGTGAACTATCTGTTGTCTTTTTTATGTTGACAATGTCCAACAACCTAGATACAAAATAAACATCTGATTTGAACTGTGAACTATCATATTGGGGTTCAGTCGTCTAAATATAATTCATATAAATTGAAACTAGGTCTCAAATTCATACTGCCAAACATTCCACATTGGAACGAAACAATTGTTCAATACTCTTTAGTTTCTTTTATCAATGATTACTTAACTAAAATTAATCTATGATCTTCACTGAACATCGATCAATCTTCTCATATTTCCTGAATATTGTTGATATATGGCGAAAAAAATAACAGCAATTGTTATCATAACTTATGACCAAAAAATCAATAATAATAACAAAATAAACAAAAAAATACATTTGTTTATCCCTATTCATATGTTATAGTTAAATTAAATTACACTATACTGCATTAAATCGTATATCAAGTTCCAGAAAATAAATAAACAAACAAACAATCAAAAAAATCAATAAATTATTTTTTGTTTCTATTTATTGAGTAATAACCATAATTTATTGAAAACAAAAAAAAATAAACAAACATTTTATTATTAAATTTTTTTTGAAAAAACTACAACTTAAAATCTGTTTTTTTTCTTATTTGGCAATAAATATCTCTAATAAAAAAAAAATAAGTTGGATTAAAGAAGAAAAAGAAAGAAGGAAGTGAAAGACAAGAAAAGAAAATCATCAATCAATTAAGTAATAAAAATATTTGTATTTTGAAATTTTTTTTCAATTTCTATAAAATTTAAATTGGTTAACTGATAAATAAAAAATTGGTTTAATATATTGAAAAAATAGAGGGATATTAACATTGAATGTGAAAGAAAAACAAATGAAGAGTTTGTTAGCCAATTGTTAGATCATAAAAATAAAATGAGATCAAATAGTTGAATTCATAAGTTAAAGAAAAATAGACCACCAAAGAAAATCTGGAAGAATTGGATGATCATTTCGTTCTACTATCGGACTCCTTGGCAATGCGCATCCACGACCCACGAACCTAATACCTGTGGTCTCACGCGTGAGCGCTTAACTTCTAGACCACTCAGCCGGTATTCAACAGTGTTAATGTTTAACTTTAAACAATCCATGATATTACGCCACCGTCTATCGTTGTATTTAGTGAGTGATTGCCTTCCATACTAAGACGTTTAATGCTTTCAGGTTTTCCGTTGTGATCTAGCTATAATTGACCCATGAATTCAACTAAAATGAGATCCAATATTTTAAGGTGAATAGGTTTAATTTGCTACAGTTTACTATCAGTATGGAGAGTTAGAAAATGATCGGTACGATAGATGTCATAGTAGGAATAATAAAGGCCAAAGAAATGTCAATATTAGAATCAGAATTCAAAATGAAATCACAGAATGATATGTATGGATTAATATTAAAATCCTAATCTTAAAAAACACAAGAAATGAATATACCTACAGTACAGATGTTAATTTTAAATAATGTCACAGATTTTTATTAGCTTGTTAATCTATATCAAATATTAAGCAAATTTTTATACTTGAAATCAGATATCAACGATTTCTTGTATTTATGCTTTCTTGAGCTAGCCACTTTCATAGTCTTTAACAAATGTATTAATATTTTAGCTAAGATAGCACATTGGGATTCATGGATGTTACATGCGCGAAATACATAATTATACTACTTCACTAGGTGATTAATAACAAGGACATAAGCCGACTTTTTATTTCGACTCGATATCCCATATTTAATCTCAGCGTTACTCATTCTGTGCTCCTCTCTAAAAATATGTCATACTTTAAAGACATTTGTGATCAACTAATAAAAACGTATACATGTTTCTGCCCTTCAGAGACTACATTAAAACCATAAAAAAATGGTGAGAACTGTTGGGTTGTATGCTGGCTTGTGTTCATTGTCTAAAAAACAGCAAAGCTGAATTTATACATTCTCGTTAATCACAAGCATAGATGTATCTTTAAACCAGTCTAATATTTATCCCCTCGAATACGGTAACTGAATGTGATTACGAAACTGTGTAAAATTTCACGTTCATTTATGTTTCGCGATTGAGGTAAAATGTTGAATGGAATGTTAAAATTGCTTTATCACTAACATACATTCAAGTCTTTACGGTTATAAGACTAAAAAATGATGAAACTAAAACCAAAAGTATTATTGTGGTGTGTGCTACTTATGTAGACATAAGTAGTATATGACGTGAGCACTGAACAGAATGTCTGGCGGCAGAGAGATAAGAAGATCGAACAATAAAGAATGAAGACAAAAGACAATTTGTATGAAAATGCAAGAACAAGGGAATTCTGAGTGATTTAAGACAACTGATGAACAATTTGCAAATTGACGATTCAATATATGGTTGTTTGATTTTACTAACTAGTTCTGTAATTGGTTGTTAAATACATTGGATTGTCCCCACTGGTGTTTTATTTCACTACAGTATAATTAATTCAAGTTTCGATAACTTGGTTAACTTATATTGTTAAATGGTGACCAACAGTGCTAAT